GTTGTGATCAGAATTAGTTGTTTTTGATATTCTTATGTCTCTCATCAGGTCCTCATTATTTGTGAAGATAAGGTCTAGTGTTTGGAGCACATTCGTACCGCACTGTGATGTCAACGAGATAAAGTCAGTTGATCAAATGAAAATGTTGGCCCACAGATGGCTCCAACTTCATTGCGTTCCCTACTTGTATGTCTAATAACAATAAAAATGCTTTCAAATGAGCTGATGTAGGTAACAGCTCTTAGCTTGTCAATAAAGTTAGGAATCCTTAACCTGTAAATAGCTTGTCAAAAAGCTTAGGATCCTTAACCAAACCTTGTCAAACCCTGTGTAAAAAAACAAGAAAAAAGAGAGAGAGAGAGAGAGACAGTAGAGAGTTAAGCAGGTAGCCAGCAGTTCCTTGCTGCCCCTCACCGGGTCCTTAATAAAAACTTTCCACTATATATATTAATATTTTATTTAAATGTGAGGAAAAATCTAGCTGTGTGCCGATTCATAATTCTCTTTGATCAGCTCAGTCGTAGGTAAAAAAAAAAAAGAGGGAAATTAACATATTTCATTTGAATAATAATTTCCGCAGTGATAAAAAAAGTTAGTATTTTTAAAAGTGGTCATTGTACTTAGCTTTTATTCATTTATTAACACGTGATGGCCTTTCAGTGCTGAGGCAATGTTTTTGTACCGGTAATTGTTGGTGTTGATAGTAGAGGAGTTACTGCCGGTGTGTTGGTGATGCTGCCAGTCTTTTGCTGCGCGTCAGATGATTTAAGTGCAGAGAGTAAATTCCTGCGTTTCTCTAGTTTGAGTGTTTGTGTGTGTTTGTGATTGCAGTGGTGTGTGTGAGTGTAGTCACCTAATTGTACTCGCCTAATTGTGGTTGCAGTGGTGTGTGTGTACTCACCTAGTTGTGGTTCCAGTGGTGTGTGTGTACTCACCTAGTTGTGGTTGCAGGAGTCGACTCACAGCTCTTCAACTTGCCGCTACTCAGTCACTCTTACCGCTCCATGAGCGTTATCATACCTCTTCTAAAAGCTATGTATGGATTCTGCCTCCACTACATCACTACCCAGACTATTCCACTTCCTGACGACTCTCTGACTGAAGAAATACTTCCTAACATCCCTCTGATTCATTTGACTCTTCAACTTCCAACTGTGACCAACTGTGAGTGGGTGTGTGTGTGTGTGTGTGTGTGTGTGTGTGTGTGTGTGTGTGTGTGTGTGTGTGTGTGTGTGTGTGCGCGCGCTCACCTAAATATACATGTGTGTATACTCACCTATGTGTAGGTGTGTACTCACCTAGTTGAGGTTGCAGGGGTCGAGTCCAAGCTCCTGGCCCCGCCTCTTCACTGGTCGTACTAGGTCACTCTCCCTGAACCGTTAGCTTTATCATACCTCTGCTTAAAGCTATGTATGGATCCTGCCTCCACTACATCGCTTCCCAAACTATTCCACTTCCTGACTACTCTGTGGCTGAAGAAGTACTTCCTAATATCCCTGTGATTCATCTGTGTCTTCAACTTCCAACTGTGTCCCCTTGTTGCTGTGTCCCATCTCCGGAACATCCTGTCTTTGTCCACCTTGTCAATTCCTCTCAGTATTTTGTATGTCGTTATCATGTCCCCCCTATCTCTTCTGTCCTCCAGTGTCGTCAGGTTGATTTCCCTTAACCTCTCCTCGTAGTACATACCTCTTAGCTCTGGGACTAGTCTTGTTGCAAACCTTTGCACTTTCTCTAGTTTCTTTACGTGCTTGGCTAGGTGTGGGTTCCAGACTGGTGCCGCATACTCCAATATGGGCCTAACGTACACGGTGTACAGGGTCCTGAACGATTCCTTATTAAGATGTCGGAATGCTGTTCTGAGGTTTGCTAAGCACCCATATGCTGCAGCAGTTATTTGGTTGATGTGCGCTTCAGATGTGCCTCGTGTTATACTCACCCCAAGATCTTTTTCCTTGAGTGAGGTTTGCAGTCTCTGGCCCCCTAGATGCATTCACCTGCGGTTTCTTCCTTTTTTGCCTTGTGTGGTGGGGTTTGTGTGTGTGTGTGTGTGGTGTACTCCCTATTTGTACTCATATTTGTGGTTGCGGGGCCGAGTCACAGCCCCTGGCCCGCCTCCGTTGTTTTGTACTAGGTTTTTCCCTCCCCCCCGAGCTCTATCATACCTCCCCTTTAAAAAACTATTTGGGTTTCCCCGCCTCCATACTCATTTTGGGGTATTCCACGGCCACTACCTAGATGAAGAAATATTCCAAACACCCCTTTGATTCATCCGAGTCTTCAATTCCAATTGGACCTTGTTCGTGTCCCTTCTCAGGAACATCCGTTTTTGCCCCCTTGTCTATTCGCGCATTTTTTATTGTCGTTATCATGTTCCCCTGACCCTCCTGTCCTCCATGTGTGGGCCGTTTCCTAACCTTTCTTGTGGGGACAACCCCCTGTCTGGGATGTCTTGTTGAAAACCCTTTTGCACTTTCTCAAATTTCTTGACGTGTTTGACAGGTGTGGTTTCCCCAAAGGGTGTGCATACTCCAGTAGGGGCCCCTGACGTAAATGGTATCGGAGTCTTTAAAACGAATCCTTCTAAGGTATGGAACGCTTCCGTAGGTTTGCGGGGCCCCCCTTGCTCAGCAGTTATCTGATTGATGTGGCCCCTCAGGAGTAGCCCGTGTTA